GTTGGGAATTCCAGTCTGGAGCTCATAAGTGAAAATGGGGGTGGAGAAGGGGTATTTGTCTCCAAGGAGGTAAAGGGACAGGCCCCTGGGTGACAGGAGCCAGGCAAGGTCAGAAGGCTTGCATCAGGGCAAAGCAGAGGAGCAGAGCTATGGGACCAGGGCAGGTCACCTGGTAGGATGAATGGTCCTGAGGTAACAGCTGCACCCTAGGTTCACCTGGGAGAGTCCCAGGTTTTTTTTAAACATGGCTGTAATGCTGTCATTTCCCCTAAGATGCCTTTTGAGCTGTCCACCGTTGTTTGTACTTGGGTGATATTTGTTACAATTTCTGGTTTTATCTTTCTCCTGCGTCAGGTCCTTCAACCTCTTGTCTATTTCAGCATTTACTGCTTAAGAATAAGGACATTTGCCTGTATAACCACAATGCCATTGTCACATCTGTCTTAGTTCATTTGTGCTGGGCTTCTACAACAAAATACCTCACACTAGGTAGTTATAAAGAACAGAAATTTATTTCATAGAGTTCTGGAAGCTGGAAGTTGAAAATCGAGGCACCAGCATGGGGAGGGGGGGTTCTTTGGGCTCAGCGGCACCCTCCTGCCACAGTGCCTTGTGGTATAAGGAGCCAGGCAGCTCTAGAGCCTCCCGTCAGGAGGGCTCCATCTCTGAGCGCTTCCAGAGGCCCCCCCCACCCCCTAATACCATCATCTTTGACCGTCAGGATTTCAACATACGCATTTGCGGGGAACACATTCAGACCATGGCAATGTCCCAAGATACTTAACCCTGATAAAGGAATATTATCTAATGTATATTCCATATTTAAATATTCCTTATTCTCCCCAGAATGTCCATTCTAAGTTGGTTTTGTTTAAACATTTAGGGTCCAGTCAAGAGTAATGAACCGTATTTGGTAGGTCTTCAGTCTTTAATCTTTAGAATAGCCCTTCCACCATAACCAAATAATTGGGATAGATTTCTCACTTACTTGATCTGGGGTGGGACTCTGGCACTGATATTATTGTTATTTTTTTTTTTTTTAAGTTCCCCTAATAAATAGAAGGTACTTTTGGGTTAAGAACCACTGCTGTGGGGCAGACGAGATTGAGGGGAGCCACGGAATGAACGCCCTTTGGAGACTGTCTTGTTGAGTGGTGCTGGTTGAAACCAGGTGGGAGAGGCACTGGACCAGTGGCATTCGTGGAACCAGGTCACTCCCAGTAAACACTCTATAAATGAAACACATGCCTCCAGTATGGAAAGCCCAGACCCTGCCCCAGGGTGTGGTCAGAGGTAAAGCTGCAGATGGGTGCCTCCTTCCCCAAGGATTCACTTGGAACAAGAGCAAGGGCTACCATCGTCCTTTCTACGCTCTGCATGCCAGAGCCAATGGGCAGTGTTATGTGTTTTAAGCAAGGGCAGACCTATTCGCGCACACCCAGAGATCAGGATATAGTGAAGATTTAAAACCATGTCCTGAAAAGCTGTTTTTAAAGGCTCCGAATGTGTAGCCTGAATGCAAGACGAATCATGGGGTACGTGACAGTGTTTCATGATTTATGAGACAAGTGTTTATGACACTTGCACTCTGGGACTAGCATTGTGCAAGGCTCTGGGAGTGCCAGTTGGGCAAACACACTGTCCTGGCCTCCAAGGATGGGACAGCCTGGTGGGAGCCAGCACATTCCTGGGACTTTTAGGTAGGCTAGAGCACTTAGAAGAGAAGCCCTTTGCTGATGTTGGCGTGGTTAAATGTTTAAGACCTAAGGGTGACAGCTACTGAGTCAGACTGCAGTTCTGTCCTATTAGACCTACACTGCTAAATGAGCCCCCCAACGTGGGGCTTTGTCCTGGGCACTGGTGCATGTAGGCAGAGGGCCTGGAGGCGACATGGGAAGTCACACTGCATGAAGAAATCTTAACCGTAAGCATTCACTATAGTTTTTGGCAAAAAGAAGAGTATGGGATGTGATGCTTCATCACCTCCCCAATACCAGGATCATTAGGGCTGCTTGTGTGGACATGTCTGAGACCTGCTGGAGTCTCTTACTCTGGAAACAAAAGTTTTGATCTCATGTTATATTGGGAAGTCTGAACCAATGAGGTCACATAATTTCCCATAGTGTTTGGCACAGGATAGAAATCCCAGGTCTCCCCATCCTCAACTTCCTTCCTAGCTCAGTGGTTATCAATAGCTGCAGCTCTGTTGCTGGTGGAGGGAGCATTAGTAAGGATTCATGAGGGGCTTATTCCACTCTTCCTTCTCCTAGCTCCAGGCTTTCTTCCTGGTGTCAGATGACATCATGGACTCGTCCCTCACCCGACGGGGGCAGATCTGTTGGTATCAGAAGGTATAGTGTGCGAGAGGGTAGTGGTGGGCATGGGAACAGGCCACAGGGCAGTGGTGGCAGAGGGCATCCCAAGGGTTCAGAATGGCCAGAATGACTGCTTGTGTTCTCTGTGTTGTGTCCCTGACAGCCAGGCATAGGCTTGGATGCCATCAATGACGCTTTGCTTCTGGAAGCATGTATCTACCGCCTGCTGAAGGTCTACTGCCGGGAGCAGCCCTATTACCTGAACCTGATTGAGCTTTTCCTCCAGGTGTGTTGCAGGCCAGCCCAGGGCCAGAGCCCGTCCATGCCCAGTTTGGCCTCTGTGGGTTCAGGGCATGGGAGTCAGCTACAGTGGCCTGGAAAGGAACAAAGGTGTTGGGTGTCAGGCAGATTGGTGGCAGAAAGGACTTTTACTCCTCTTTGTGAGTGGAAGAAGGGGTGAGGAAGCCCTGTGTGCCTACAGGCCTTGGGATTTTGGGGTCCTCTGCCTCTTGCTGCCTTTCTCTCGCTCATGGTGTGGGTTTCCCAGCCCTGGATGAAGCCCAGCTGACAGGCCACCCTCCGCCTCCTCCTCAGAGTTCCTATCAGACTGAGATTGGACAGACCCTGGACCTCATCACCGCCCCCCAGGGCAGCGTGGATCTCAGCAGGTTCACTGAGAAGAGGTGAGGGACGGGGATGGTGCCCACACAGTGAGGGGGACTGGTGCTGGGCCCTGCCTTCCTGAGGACTCTGCCTTCCCCCTCCTCAGGTACAAGTCTATTGTCAAGTATAAGACGGCCTTCTACTCATTCTATCTTCCTGTGGCCGCTGCCATGTATATGGTGAGTGTGCCCACTGCCCCTTGCTGCCCACGGACCGGGCTTTTGGATCATGGGCACCCAGCAGGCAGCTTTGGACAGGGGGCCCCCACTGAATGGCTGCGTGACCCTGAGCCAGTTGTCTCAGTGTCTCCTCACCAGTCCAATGACCGAGTTCCCACCTCAGGACTTCTGCAAAGATGAAGGGAGGCAGGGGATAGGAAGGAAAGTGGTTGGTACGATTCGGAAGAGCACCGACTGCTGCATCCATGTCTGGATAGGGTTGGGGGGGTTCACACTGAGAGGTAGACCAGGTCCAGACAGGCAGTGGGATTCCCTCGCCACCTCAACCTCACTGCTCCATGTTCTGCTTTCATCCGGAAAGACACCGAGGAGGATGAGGGGCCATGGATTGGGGCCTGGCCGTCCGCAGGCCCCCAGGGCTCATCTGTGTCTGTTGGCATGCACCAAGGGCTAGAGGTTGGCCCACTGAGACATCCTGGGACCAGGAAGCCAGGGATGTCTGAAAAAAGAGGGCAGAGGATCTGGATCTGGGGGGCTGCTATGGGGCCCGCCTAGGCGATGCAGCAAGGAAAGTGGAGGCACCCCTGGCGTTTGATCTAGTGATCCTTTCTTCACTGTAGGCAGGCATCGATGGGGAGAAAGAGCATGCCAATGCTAAGAAGATCCTGCTGGAGATGGGGGAGTTCTTTCAGATTCAGGTAGGAGGGCACTGGTGGGGAGCAGGCCACTGCCAGCCTAGTGCCCTGCGTGGAGTGTCTTCATTGGTCCTCCTCTGCCCTCTGCCCAGGATGATTTCCTGGATCTCTTTGGGGACCCCAGTGTGACGGGCAAGATTGGCACAGACATTCAGGACAACAAGTGCAGCTGGCTGGTGGTTCAGTGTCTGCAGCAGGCATCTCCAGAGCAGCGCAAAGTCCTTCAGGTGCTTGGGAGGCCATAGATCCTGGAGCTCCCAGGAAAGGGGACATATAAGGATTCTCAAAGGGGCTTGGCAGCATCAGCAGACATTTTTTTGTCATAACTTGGTAGGCGTGTGCACGGGCTGCAGGTATCTTTAGCGGGTAGAGGCCAGGAAAGCCGCCAGACATCCTCCAATGCACAGCAGAGCTTCCCCACAATTAGCCAGCCCCGGCCGAGGCCTCGGCAGTGCTGATGTAGAGGAAACTGGCCTGAACTAGTGCAGCAGGAGAGGGAGGTTCAAAGACCCTGGAAATCCGAGGCTGGAATAGATGGAGGAGGGGCGTGCCAGATGCCCTGATAGCTGGAGAAGGCTAAGCCAGTTCCCTGCCTCCAACCCCTTCCAGGAGAATTATGGGCACAAGGAGGCGGAGAAGGTGGCCCGAGTGAAGGCGCTGTACGAGGAGCTGAACCTGCCGGCTGTTTTCACGCAGTATGAGGAAGACAGCTACAGCCGCCTCATGAGCCTCATTGAGCAGTGCGCCTCACCCCTGCCCCCAGCCATCTTTCTGGAGCTGGCGCACAACATCTACAAGAGGAAAAAGTGACCTAGAGACGGCGAGGGTGGGGCGGGGCGGCTCTCAATAAATTGTCCAATCTTCTAGTGCGTCTTTGCCTGCTTGTAATGGTCTGGGGCACAGCTGTGTCCCCAGTAGGCAGGGTTTGGGGAGACTGGTGCCGGCCTGCGCCGCAGCTCTGTCGGGAGAAGTCAGGGTTGGGGTGGCCGCGCGGAAGCCGGGACCAGGGTCTTGCCTTCAGGACCCCTGGGACCTAGAGCTTAAGACTAAAGCTGCGCGGAGCCTGGATGGGTGACACAGGCGAGACGTCAAGCGCTGGGGGCGGGGTCTGAGCCCCGCCCCGCCCCTGCGTGAAGGGGCGCGGCTGTGCAGCGCCGGCGGGTCGTCCTGGCGTCCCCCATCCAGTCGGTGCGGTCCGACTGGGACCTTGGGAGTCGTGGAGGAGCCGGGCTGCAGCGGTCGCTGGAGGACCCGGGTAAGGTGAGGGGGGACGCATCCGGGCACGCTGGGTGGGGCAGGAGGGGGGGCGCAGGAAAATTGCATAGAGGAGGAGTGGGGTGGCGCCTGGGGGACAGAGCCGAGCGCGGAGAGAATGGGTGAGCGCGGCGTCGGAGCAGAGATCTGCTGGCCCACCTGCTCCGCGGACCTGCGCGCTGCCAGCTGCCGGGTGCTCGCCCCCACGCTCGCCCGCTACTCTCCTGCATTAGCAAGCTGGCCGCGCCTCCCCCACCCGATTTCGGAGCATCTGGGCGGGGCCTCCCGCAGCCCCTTCCCCCGGGAGCGAAGGGCAGGCTGGGGAAGCGGGGGTGCGGTGCAGGGCCAGACTGCAGCAGAGACGATCCGAGGCTCTATCCTGGGCTCCATCCTTTTTCAAGCCCCCGCACCTCCACAGAGATCCAGAGCGCAGCCGCATTTCCTGACCCTCCCCGCCCCAGTCCCGGGGGGCTCCTTTCGGCTCCACCTGCAAATACTGCAGTGGAAACTACCGGTCAGTCGACGGACATTGGCGTCTTATTTAAATACTGTCCAAAGCAGCCGGTGCTTTTCATGACCGCTGCAGCTGCCCGTCACCGCCGCGCCCCGCGTCCTCTCTGGCTGGGGATCACTCTCCCTGTCTTCCAGGTCTGCCTCTGCGGTTGCCAGGTAGGCGGTGTGAGAGGCCCGAGCCTCCCGACTCTCCAGAGGCCACCTCATCGCTGCCGGCACAATGCTGTCCCCTCAGAGGGCTTTGCTCTGCAACCTCAACCACATCCACCTCCAGCATGTGTCCCTGGGCCTGCACTTGTCCCGCCGTCCTGAGCTACGGGAGGGGTCCTTGAGCACATCCCCTCCCCCCGGAGACACAGGGGGCAAGGAGAGCCGCGGCCCCTGCAGCGGGGTCCTGGTGGACGCCAATTCCAACAGCCCAGCTGTGCCCTGCCGATGCTGCCAGGAGCACGGGCCCAGCTTGGAGAATCGACAGGACCCAGCGCAGGAGGAGGAGGGGGCTGCCTCTCCCTCTGACCCGGGCTGCTCCTCCTCGCTCAGCTCCTGCTCAGATCTTAGTCCAGATGAGTCCCCCATCTCGGTGTACTCGCAGGGTCTCCCAGGTGAGGAGGATGTCCACCCTCAGCCCAGCATCATCCCCCTGGAGCAGGGCTCCCCGCTGGCCTCCGCAGGCCCTGGCGCCTGCTCTCCGGACAGCTTCTGTTGCTCGCCCGATTCCTGCTCCGGAGCGTCCTCCCCACGGAGCCCCGATCTGGACTCCAACCGCAACACCCTGACCACCTGCCAGGAGCCCCCTTCCCCGGGGCTAGAGGAAGAGGACGAGGGAGGGGAGCAGGATCTCCTTGCCTCCGAGCTCCCGGAGCCCGACGCTGGGAAAACCGAACCTAGCTGGAAAATCAACCCCATTTGGAAAATTGACACGGAGCTCCCCGATGCCAGCTGGAAAGCCACGGGGATCATTGACTCTGGCTGCACCATCCGCCGGAACAGCAGCTCTAGCTGGACAACGGAACCTGCAAAACTCGACTCCGGCTGCAAAAGCAACCCAGTTATCACCGAAGCCAGCTCAAAAACAGATGCGGGGTGGAGTGACGTCAGCGGGGAGCCGGCGTCGCACCGGACAATCACGTCCTTCCATGAGCTGGCCCAGAAGCGCAAGCGGGGCCCGGGGCTGCCCCCGGTGCCGCAGGTCAAGAAGGACCGCAGCGACTGGCTCATCGTATTCTCGCCCGACAGCGAGCTGCCCCCCAGCGGCTCCCTGGGAGGCTCCCCGGCGCCGCCCCGGGAGGTCACCACCTTCAAGGAGCTCCGCTCCCGGAGCCGGGCCACGCCCCCGCCGGTGCCGCCCCGGGATCCCCCGGTCGGCTGGGCCTTGGTGCCGCCCCGACCCCCGCCCCCGCCCGTCCCACCGCGGAGGAGGAAGAACCGGCCGGGGCTGCAGCCCATCACCGAGCGGCCGCCCGAGGAGGGCAGGGCGGGCAGCCCCGTGGCTGGCCAGGAGGCCCCCGCCGCCCGGGAGCCCGAGGAGCCGGGCGCGCAGGCCAGCGGCGCGGGTAAGCCGCCGCGGGGAGCCGCGGGGTCGGGGGGCGGGTAGGAGGGGCTGCGGCCTCGCTCCCTACCCCCCGCCTCCGGCCCGCCCCACGCTCCCCGTCTGGGCCACCCGCCCCCTTCCCGCCCCCCTCGCACCGCCTCCCGCACCGCCAACGGCGAGCGCTCCGGGAGGGGGACCTGGGGGGCCGCCGGGCTGTGGCACTAACTCTCTGCTCCCTCTTTCTCCGCCTGTCCCGCCTGGCTGCCGCCTCGCTCCCCCCCCCCGCCCGCTGCAGCCGGCCCCTCCCCGCCGCGCCCGCCCTCCGCCCCCCGGTCCGCGGCCGCCCCGCGCCCCCTGCTGGAGGGCGCGGGCACGGCGGGGACTCCGCTCCCCGCGCGTCCCGCCGGCCCTCCCCGCGCGGGGCTGCGGCTACTGGGCGCGCCGAGGCCTCCGCAGGAGCGGCTGCTGCCGGTCCGCCAGTCCCCGGTGGGCGCGCACTCGCCCCCGGCTCGGGGGGCCCTGCCCTGCCTGGCCAGCCCCGAGCTGGCCCTGCTGCTCTCCCCGCTCTTTCCCAGAAGCAGCACCTTCCCCGCCGCGGCCCCCCCGCCCCGCCAGGTGCCCGCCCCCCCGCTGCCACCACCGCCGCGCCCGCAGAAGGGCTCCCGCCGGACCAGGAGCCCGCCGCCTCCGCCCAGGCTACGTAAGACGGACCCGGGCTCGCCCGCGGGGTCCCCCGCCCCCCGAGCCCGTCCTCCGCCCCCAGGGTCCTCGGGTGAGGCGGCGCTGCCCCGCCCGCCCGCGGGGGGCACCTGGCCCCGCGCCTCGAGGCCCGGGCGAGGGGGGCGCGGGCCGGGGCCTGTGCGGTGCTGGGGTGTGGGGGGCACAGTCCCCCCTACCTCGCTCGGGGGGTGAGGGGAAAGCAGGCGCCGGACCCCAGTGGGCCCACGCCCGCGCCTCCCAGCCTACCCCCCTCCCCTCCCCAGGTCTCCTCTTTCTCCGTGTCTCCTCCCACTCCCGTTAGTCGGTCTGTTTGTCTGTCCATTGGTCCTGGCCCCCCACGTGCTCCCCGGGCTGCCCTCCCCCCACCCCGGCCCATTGGGCGGGGCGCGCGGGGCTGTCCGGGCGGAGGTTGGCGCGGGCCCCGGAGGGGGAGGGGCGGCGAGCTCGGGGCGCCCCACCCGGCCTAGGGCCCTGTCCCTGTCCCTGCTAGTTTCCGGCCCGGGTGCTGCGGGCGACCTGGGCGCCAGCCCGGTGCCCTCGGGTCACCGTGGTAAGTGCCGCCTCTTTCTTCCTTCGCGGTAGCCCAGAGTTCCTGGTCGTTCGCCGGTGTCCCCGGGGCCCAGCGACGGTGGATGGCAGAGGCCCAGAGCGGGACCGGCCAGCTGCAGGAGCAGAAGAAAGGTAGGACGCCCGGACCTCTGACCCCAGCCCTTGGGTTGGCTGCTGCCCTGTTGGGCCTCGGCGCCCTGTCGGCCTGTAGGAGCCTGGGTGTCCGGCCCTGGGGTGTTTGCCACACAGCCGTGCGCTCCCCACCCGCCCTTTGCAGGGCTCCTGATAGCTGTGAGCGCCTCCGTGGACAAGATCATCTCGCACTTTGGGGCGGCCCGGAACTTGGTTCAGAAGGTGAGCGAGGCAGTGGGGAGGGTGTGGGGGCCCCTGAACAGTAGGTGGGGTGGCGGCCGCAGGCACCTGGGACAAGCGGGTTGTGCCACCCCCAGGCCCAGTTGGGGGACAGCCGTCTGAGCCCAGATGTGGGGCATCTGGTGCTGACTACCCTCTGTCCGGCCCTGCACGCCCTGGTGGCGGACGGCCTGAAGCCGTTCCGGAAGGACCTCATCACGGGGCAGCGCAGGAGTAGCCCCTGGAGCGTGGTGGAGGCTTCTGTGAAGCCAGGTGAGGTCCCCTGAGGGGGGTGCTGGGGTGGGCAGGCCTGACGAGGTAGGGGTAGGGGGTGGAGCTGATGGGGTGGGGTGGGGCACAGGTAGGCAGGGGCAGGGCAAGGTGGGGCAGGGGCAGGGCAAGGTGGGGCAGGGGCAGGGGCGGGTGGGGTCCTGGCTGATAGTGCGGTGTCCACAGGTGCCAGCAGCCAGGCGCTGGGGACTCTGTACAGCCAGGTCAGCCGTCTAGCCCCGTTGAGCAGCAGCCGCAGCCGCTTTCACGCCTTCATCTTGGGCCTCCTCAAGTGAGTGGCTGTGTTTCTGGTGCCCCTCCCATGGCTTGGGGGCCATCGGGGGTCACGGGTGGAGGGACGCAGCGTCCCCGAGGTGGCCTCCCCTCTCCGAAGCCCTATGCCGGCCTGAGCTCCTGTCCGTTCCCCTCCAGCACCAAGCAGCTGGAGCTGTGGTTCTCGAGCCTCCAGGAAGATGCAGGTCAGTCGCCCATGGGTAGGGCAGTTTGCCCACTAGGGGCAAAATGGGGGGGGGGACTGTCTCTTCTGTGGGTCCCCCTGGTGCCAGAGGGACCTTGATCCTCATTTCCAGTTTGGTGACTTAGACTTCTAGTGTGTCCTGTTTCCCCCTAGCAGGAAAGAGCCAGATCCTCCCCGAAACCTCCAGAGTCTTGCATGTTGGGCCTCTTCCTCCTTCCCAGGCCTGGGCAGTGTTTTTTTCCAGCTCCTTACCCCAGGGCCCTCCTTTTGCTGTGGTCACCTCCCCTCCCCCCAGGAAGTCTCCCTCATCTTTGGGGACCTTGTTGGGAGGGTCCCAGGGAGCCCACTTCCCACATTGTGTCGTTGAGGGGCCAGGCCTCCTTCCTGCCATTCCGGGGTCACCACTCGGCCCATGGGCCTGGGGCTGAGCTGGGGGCTGACATCAGCCTTCTGTTCCCAGGCCTGCTGTCCCTCCTGTACCTGCCCACTGGCTTCTTCTCCTTGGCCCGGGCTGGCTGCCCTGCCCTGGCCACGGAGCTGCTGCTCCTGCTCCAGCCACTGTCTGTGCTCACCTTCCACCTGGACCTGCTGTTCGAGCACCACCACCACCTGCCCCTGGGCCCCCCACCCACCACTGCCACCCCAGGCTCACCTCCTGCCCTGCAGCAGACGGTGCACGCAGTGCTGCACTGGGGGGGGCGGCTGGCCCAGAGCCTTCGGGGAGCCCCTGGGGATACGCCTTCTGGCCCTTCGGCCCTTGAGAGTGCCCCAGCGCCGGGCAGCTGGTGGGAGCAGCTGACCCAGGCCTCCCGGGTCTATGCCTCTGGGGGCACCGAGGGCTTCCCCCTTCCCCGGTGGAGGGCCTGGCGTCCAGGGACGGCGGCTGGAGGCCCCCACGACAGGCCCCTGCCCGCAGAGGAGGCCACGACCGGCCGAGGTCCGTGGCTGGGGAGGCTGTTTGGAGTGCCTGGGGGCCTGGCGGAAGGAGACGGAGGAACGCTGAAGTCCAGGTACTGCCACCACCAGTCTCCTGCTGGGCCTCTGATCCTTTCTCAGAACCCTGTTTGCCCCAGGGGGAACCTCGGGGGATCCTTGAGGCCTCTTCGTTGTGTGAGAACCCGTAGGGCACTCTCTGTGTTGCCTCTTGACCTCAAAGCTGGAGATATTTACTGCCTGCCCTTTACCGAATCTCAGGGGGCTGCTTCTGGCTCCAGGGTTGTCCTTCCATAGCCCCTTTTGGTGTTTGTTGTTGCGGACCTTGGACCCAGGTGTCTCATCACCCTGAGGGCCCCTCAGTCCGCAGCTGTCACGCTCCCTCAGCAGTGACCCACTCCCAACCTCTTCCCATCTCCAAAGTCCTGGGTTCCAGCGTTTGTTTTCTGGAGGTTGGGTGACTTCTGTGACCCCGTCTCCTTTCCTCCAGGAGACCATCCAGCTGGCTGCCCCCGACAGTGAGTGTGTTGGCTCTGGTGAAGCGGGGGGTACCTCCTGAGACCAGCTCGTCTCCTGAGGAGCTTGAGGCCTCAGCTGCCAGCATGGTGGAGACCCACAGGTGTGGGGGTGCAGACCACAGGTGGGGGGTACAGATCACAAGTGTGGGGGCATGCAGATCACAGGTGTGGGGGTGTAGACCACAGGTGTGGGGATTACAGACCCACAGGTGGGAGAGATAAGCATGAAAGGTCTCGGACTGTGAGGTCAGTGGTTGGCTTGCGTTCCATCTCTGCTGTTGGCATGAGGCTCTGGTCTCTGGGCCTGTTTCAGTGTAAAAGGCAGATAAGTGCTCCTTTTGTTACATAAGAGCGTGAACTTAGTTTTACAAAGGCGTGTAGCACACGGTGTGCTCCTGGTTAGTGGTTGCATGAACTGTCCATGTCCCCGGGTGGGGACACGTCCTATAGTGGGGGTGTTTAGCTTAGATGCCAGGGGTGCTTGTGCCCTGGAGTCTGGCCTCCGTTGGGTGCTCTCAGGCCACTGAATTAGGTTTCTGGAGACTTTTTCTTTGTCCAACGGTATTTTTCCAGTACTTACTACGAGCCTGGCATTATGCTCCGCAGGGGCCAGTAAGGCTACCTCACTGGAGTCCATGCCCGCCTGGAGCTTTGGCCAGGGAAGGTTCCCAAGAGTGAGGCTTGGTGACAGCTACGTGTGGTGGCTGCTTTAGGAGAGAGGACTGAGGGCCTGGGGTGGTGTATGGGTCAGGAAAGGCCCCGGGTGGTGGCTGTGTGGGAGGAACCAGGAGCAGAGGCAGAGAGGCCCTGGGGATGGCGAGGAGGAGCTGGGCCTGTTTGTGTCTGGGGGGAGAATGGACATGGCAGCAGTGAAGGAGTGCTGGAGGCAGGGAACCCGTCTTCACCCTGTCACCCTGGGTGCCGGGGAGGGGTCTGAAGCCTAGAGATGAAGCAGCCATTGGTTTGGGAAGCCCTCTGGCTGCTGGCGGGGCAGGGAGAGGTGAGCGGGCCCAGATCGGTGGTCCTGAGAGAGGGTGGAGCCCTCGGAGGTCGGCAGGGAGTCTATGAGGAGGATGCATGGAGAGCAAGGTGATTGAAGTTGGGGGTGACACCCCCGAGGACCCTGGGGGAGGGCCTGGCTGGGAGGGTTCAGGTAAGTGCCTTGGTTTCCATCTGTTGGATAGGAGCCCCGGGGCGTGGGGGCGGGTCAGATAAGCGGCCCCAGATGGATCCCACGAGTTCGAGTTCCCCGCTGCGACAGCTTCACCCCAGCCCACCCCTCTGGCTCCCCGAAGGGCGGTGCGCACGCTCTGCGACCACGTGGCGGCAACACCTGAGCAGCTGAGCTTCCAGCGCGGGGAGGTGCTGCGCGTCCTGGCCACCGTGAACGAGGACTGGCTTCGCTGTGGGCGGGATGGCGCCGAGGGGCTGGTGCCCGTGGGCTACACCTCTCTCATCCTCTAGACCGGTCACCGGTCTGGTCGGTGGCCGCCTCTCCCTCCTGCGCCCTGGAACCCAGCGGCCTCAGAACCCCGCCCAGCTGCCTGGACACAGAACGACTCTTCTTCCCTCTCCGCATCCCTCTCCGCAAATGGGAAATGACCTTCCCTCCCCCCTCGTGCCATCTGTAAGGTGAAATCTGCTCCTCTTCTGATATGAAAAGGAGTTTCCCTCTACCTCTTTCCCCACCTGCACAGGGAAGCCTCCCCTCCTGCCCACACACTGGAACTTGAGCCCCTCTGCCTCCTCCTGCTGAGTGGACTGTGCCAGTGCCACGTGCGCCTCTTTCCCCAAGACTAGAAGGGCCTCAAGGGTCCTTCCCACCTCTGGTCACCCCCACCTGCGCACCGCCCTCCTTGCCTGTATTTATTATGTTCTTATGCTGTGCCAGGTGCTAAAGTCCGGACCCCCCCCACCGTGGGGGGCCCCTGGTGTTGGTCTGCCTACCCCTCATTGTCCCAATAAAGTGTGGGAGCTGAACGTGTATGTGTCACTGGGTTACGGAATGGGGGCTCTGGGGACGGAGGGGGGGCCCCCTTCCCAGCAGAGATCCCAGAAAGGCAGGGTTGCCTTCTTTTCCAAGGTGATGGGGAGGACACTCAGTGGACAGGGGCTGTGGGGAGGCTGGGCCTGTACCTGTGTTCCTGAGACCCCTGGGCCAGGTGCTGGGAGGGCTCAGAAAGTTGTAGAAGTGACACTTTTTTTTTAAAGATTTTATTTATTTATTCATGAGAGACACACAGAAAGAGAGAGGCAGAGACACAGAGAGAGGCAGAGACACAGAGGGAGAAGCAGGCTCCATGCAGGGAGCCTGATGTGGGACTCAATCCCAAGACCCCAGGATTATGCCCTGGGCCGAAGGCAGGCTCTAAACCACTGAGCCACCCAGGGATCCCCGAAGTGACACTTTTTCATGTCACCAGTCCTCAGTGATGCAGTTTTTTTTTGGAAAGCACCCTGATGGCATTTCAGGTCCTTCGTTAGTGGATGAGGCTGCGTCTGGAGAGAACACATGGAACTCCCCGTGGGGCTTGGGAGGGAGGTCAGTAACTGCCCACAGGAGAGCCACCAGGAGGTGAGAAGTCAGGAAAGTCAGGGGACACAGGACCAGGAGGTGAACACAGGGAAAGGACCCTGGACAAATTTTGTTCCACCTTTGGGAACTTGGGTCAAGGTGACAACAGGCTGGCACAGGGAGAGGAGGAGGGGCCATCCTCAGGCATGGACTTCCCAGTTCCTGGCCCCTTCTGGGGACTCCTCTACTCCTTCCTTAGTTTTGCTCTGGCTTTGGCTGCCTTCTGGCTTTGAGACCTGACCTCTTGGGTTGACTCCAATACACCCTTTCTCACACTGGACTGAAAGCCTTGGAATCTGTTGCCTTCATGGTCTAAGTGCTCACGTTGCTGAAGCTTCTCCAATTGCTTTTTATTTTTATTTATTTTTTAAAGATATTTATTTATTTATTTATTTATTTATTTATTTATTTATTTATTTATTTATGATAGAGAGAGGCAGAGACACAGGAGGAAAGAGAAGCAGGCTCCATGCTAGGAGCCCGATGCGGGACTCGATCCTGGGACTCCAGGATCACGCCCCGGGCCAAAGGCAGGCGCCAAACCGCTGAGCCACCCAGGGATCCCTTATTTATTTTTTAAAAAAGATTTCTGTATTTATTCATGAGAAACAGGCACAGAGAGAAGAAAGGCAGAGACATAGAGGGAGAAGCAGGCTCCTCATAGGGAGCCCGATACAAGACTCTATCCTGGATCCCAGGATCACGCCCTGAGCCTAAGGCAGGCGCTCAACTGCTGAGCCATCCAAGTGTCCTGCTTTTTATCTTTATAATGAGGTTCTACAACAGGACACATGCCAGACTGGGGTTACTTTGACTTTGGGACCAGTGTTTCTCAGTGTGACACGCACATGGGAGACCCATGATTCTTGTAGGCCGCAACAGAGCCTCTGCTTTCCTGACCCCACCTGCCCTGTCCTGACCCTAGCCCTGTGCACTGGCCTTCACAATGGGTCATCCTAACCACTGGGAAGAACCTAGAAGAGTGGTGCTACCTAGCATGTCACTGGGAGCTGGTGGTCTAGTGGTCTCAGTGGTAAGACCCGCAGACCTCCTTGCAGAGCATCGTGAAATGGAGCAAATATGACTAGGAAATGTAACTTTGTTATGGTCACATATTACTTAGAACAGTTGTACTGGGTACCAATGCTTAAGACATAAGGATAAAAAAGAAAAACTGACAGCGTGTGGACAAGAGTGTTGCCTAACAAGAGAGACTCATGTCCTTGTGGGAGCTGACAGACGTCCAGTTGGCTTGTGGCCAACTCTTTTTTTTAAAAAATATTTATTTATTTATGAGAGAGAGAGAGAGAGAGAGAGAGAGAGAGAGAGACAGAGGCAGAGACACAGGAGGAGGGAGAAGCAGGCTCCATGATGGGAGCCCGACGTGGGACTCGATCCTGGGACTCCAGGATCGTGCCCTGGGCCAAAAAAGGCAGGCACTAAATCGCTGAGCCACCCGGGGATCCTGGCCAACTCTTTTTTAAAAAATTAATTAACAATTCAAATTCCAGTGTAGGTTACATTCAGTGTGATACTAGTTTCTTTCTTTCTTTCTTTCTTTCTTTCTTTCTTTCTTTCTTTCTTTCTTTCTTTCTTTCTTTCTTTCTTTCTTTCTTTTTCTTTCTTTCTTTCTTTCTTCTTCTTTTTTCTTCTTTCTTCTTTTTTTTTTTTAAGATTTTATTTATTCATGAGAGACAGAGAGAGAAAGACACAGGCAGAGGGAGAAGCAGGCTCCATGCAGGGAGCCCAACACAGGACTCGATCCCGGGTCTCCAGGATCATGCCCACGGCCGAAGGCGGCGCTAAACCACTGAGCCACCCGGGCTGCCCTAATTTCTGATGTACAGTATAGTGATCCAGTAATTCCATTCATTATTCTGTTCATGGTAAATGGACTCTCAGACCCTATCATTTTTCCCCTCCCCTACCCTCTGCCTCCCACCCCCATCACCTCCCCTCTGGTGACCTGCAGTGTGTTCTCTAAAGTGAAGTCTGTTTTTGAGTTTCTTTTTAAATTTCCTATGTTTTTTAAATTCACTTAAAATTTTTATTTATTCGAGAGACATAGAGATGCAGAGACACAGGCAGAGGGAGAAGCAGGTTCCATGGAGGAAGCCGAAAGTGAGACTTGATCCTGGGACTCCAGGATCACGCCCTGGGCTGAAGGGAGGCACTCAACCACTGAGCCACCCAGGTGTCTCTTAAATTCCACATTTGAGTGAAATCACATGGTATTTATCTTTGACTTATTAGAGATTTTTATTTGTTTATTCACGAGAGACACAGGCAGAGGGAGAAGCAGGCTCCCTGTGGGGAGCCTGATGCGATCCCAGTACCTCAGGATTTCCACCCGAACCAAAGGCAAACATTCAACCGCTGAGCCACCCAGGTGCCTCTGACTTACTTCTTATTGCACAATACCCTCTGGATCCATTCATGTTGTTGCAAATGGCAATATTTCATTTTTTACAGCTGAATAATATTATATTAAGTATGTATACAACTTCATTCATTCGTCAAGGGAGAGTTGTGCTGCTTCCATAATATGGCTACTGTAAGTAATAATGCAGTAACATAGGGGTGGGGGCGCCTGAGTGGCTTAGTCAGTGGAGCATGCAGCTATCACTCTCAGGTTGCAGGTTCAAGCCCCATGTTATGTGTAGAGATCACTTGAAAAAAAATCTTAAACATAGGGGTACATATATCTTTTCAAATAAGTGTTTTCATATTCTTTGGGCAAATATCCAATAGTGGAATTACTGGATCATATGGTAATTTTATTTTCAATTTTTTGAGGATCCTCCATGCTGTTTGCCACAGTGGCTTGCTGTTTCTTGTTTTTGAATTTAACCATTCTGGCAATTCTCATTGTGATTTTCATTTGCGTTTCCCTGATGAATGATATTGAGTACACTTTCGTGCGTCTGTTGGCCATCTGGATGTCATCTCTGGAGAAATATCTGTTCATATCTTCTGCCTATTTTTTTAAAATTTTTTTATTTATTTATGATAGAGAGAGAGAGAGAGAGAGGCAGAGACACAGGCAGAGGAAGAAGCAGGCTCCATGCACCGGGAGCCCGACGTGGGATTCGATCCCGGGTCTCCAGGATCGCGCCCTGGGCCAAAGGCAGGCGCCAAACCACTGCGCCACCCAGGGATCCCCTCTTCTGCCTATTTTTAAATTACTTTTTGGTGTTGAGTTATGGTTCTTTATGTATTTTGAATACTAACCCTTTATTGGATATGTCATTTGCAAAAACCTCCCATTTTGTCTTTTTTAAGATTTTTTTGAGAGCAAGAGAACATAAGAGGGAGAGGAAGAAGCAGGCTTCCCGCTGATCAGGGAGACTCATGTAGGTAGGGCTCCATCCCAGGACCCTGAGATCATGACCTGACCTGAGCCAAAGGCAGACACAACCATCTGAGCCACCCAGGAACCCCTCTTTCATCAATATAGTTTTCAGAGTGTAGACCTTTCACCTCCTTCATTAAGTTTATTCCTAGGTATTATTTTTAGTATAATTGTAAATATGGGATTTTTTTTTGGTGTGTGTGGGGGTAGTTTCCCTACCTGCTACTTCATTATTAGCATGTAATAATGCAGTGGATTTCTGTACATTGATTTTGTATCCTGCAACCTTACTGAAATCATTTATCAGTTCTAGTAGTTTTTTGATTTTTAGGGATTTCTGTATGTAGTATCATGTTACCTGCAAATAGTGAGTGAAAGTTTTACTTAACAATTTGGATGGCCTTATTGCTTTTTCCTGATTGCTTATGGCTAGGACTTCCAGTACTATGTTAAATAAAAGTGGTGAGAGTGGACATTCTTGTCTTTTTTTTCTTTTTCTTGACCTTAGGGGAAAACTCTTTTTCACCATTGAGTATGATGTTAGCTGTGCATTATCATGGTTGAATGTTGTACTTTGTCACACACTCTTCCTGCATCAATTGCAATATGATTCTTATCCTCTTACTGATGTATCATGTTGATTGATTTGCAAACATTGAACCATCCTTGCATCCCAGGAACGCAGTCTGTGGTCTTGGTGCTTGAATAACCATTCTAGCTGAACTCAGAGCTGCAGTGCGGATCAATGTTTGGGACAACGTTCCATTGGGTCCTTCAGTTGCTGGCAGGAGTGGATTTATCTTCCTTAGTAGGATCACATTGGCTATTTGTGACACTCTTCTACTTGCAGATGAACATGATGATTTTGGAATTATGAATCCAACACTAGTTCCTAGGTGATCTCTGGCAAGTTGCTGAGATTCAGTTTTCACTTCTACTAAATGGGAATAGTAACCACAGAGGGCTATCAGGATTATCTAACTAGCTAGATGATCCTGGGCGAGTTACTTAACCTCTGTGTTACTTCAGTTCCCTCGTCTATGAAATTGGGTT